AAATTATAGTATTTTTGTTGTTTTTGTTTGTTTGTTTTTGTTTGCAGTGCTGGGGATGGAAACCAGGGCCTTGTGTGTGCTTGGCAGGCACTCTACCACTGAGCCACATCCCCACCTGCAGGATAACAACTTTTTAAAGATCACACAGGCAAAACAAAAAGGTTGGTATATAAGCTTGAGAATCTCGAAAAGTAAACTGTTTGACTTCAGCACAATAAAACAAGTATTTATTGTTAATTTTTTATTCCCCCCGTCATTCATGTATTTGTTTATTCGGTATTGGGACTGAACCTCAGGGTTTTGTCTGGACTTTTGGTGAGAGCTCTGCCCTGAGCTGCATCCCCAGCCCATGTCCAGTCAGAATTCAAAATCTTTGGATGATCTTACCTGTTTTCCTTGCTTGGGAAGAACTCTTCTGTGTCCTCAGCGTTTTGAGTTCATTAATTCCCTGAGCACCTTATTTTTTTCTGAACAATTTTGGTTTGTGTCTGATACCTAAATGAACAGCTGTTAGAAATGTCATTTTAGCTTTTGAAGCAAAGCAGTAATTCAACATGTGTATTTTTTCATGAATTAAAAAAATGTTCTGTTCTGGAACTTTTCATTTGCTGTTGACTTAATTTTTATATTAGTAATAATTGTATCGGAACACTTTTAGCTACACAGAGCAAGAATACCATGTCAGTGGTGCTGTGGTGTAAACTGTAGAAAGTATCACCTCTCAAAGCTAGAAGTTTTGAGGCAGGGCAATTCGTTTTAGCTAATTTATGATTGATGGGAGCATCGAAAATGCATATTCTGCTTAATTTTGTATTTTGCCATCCCAGCACATTAGTATTCCTTAAGCGTTCTCTTCTTATCAGTGGAAGTGGCTGCTATATTCTCATATGACAGACAGTAGCAGATGCCCCATGTTCAGAGTGAGAATTGCCCAGAATCTGTGCATCATGTCTCACTGACCAGATCTAAGCTTCCTGTCAGTTGTCAGGAGGGTGAGGGCAAGAGGTCAGGAGGGTGAGGGCACTGGTGGTGTCAGAGTTGGTGGGATGGACTCATCGGGCATCTGCCCATTAGGAGGAGAGAGCCAGGCTGTTGTCTAAATCCAGCTCAGGTTTGTCCAGGTTATTTGCATGTGCATATTATTTTTTGAAGATGTTCAGTGAAGTTCATACTTGGACCATAGCACTTAAAATGCTCATGTGCACATTGGCTAATACATCTGCTTTTTCTGCTGATGTATGAACTTAAAGAATCAAAGCTTTGCCCACCATCCTTCCTGCAATCTTTCTCAAAAGATAACAAAATTTGATGTGCTCTTTATCAGTTGCAAAGAGTAGAAAAGAAGCTCTCCACCTATAATTTTTTCTGGAATTAGGGTTTTCCAGAGACCAGGTTTCTGGTTCTGCTGTGCCGTCCTCATGCATGCAGGGCGTTGCTGGGGCAACTGTCACATCCATGTGCAGGGCCCAAAGAAAGATAAAAGTGGGAAGAGGCACGCTGGCTGTCTCGCTCCCCTTTTCAAGAACACCTAGCCTCTGTGGTGGAAGCGTAATATGAGCTGATTTTAAATTTTCTAGTAGTCATAGTTTAAAACACTGCAAAGAAATACATTTTTTATTTTAGTAATATGTTTATTTTACCCAGTATATCCAAAACATTACCATTTTTAAAGTGAGTTAATAAAAATTATTAGATATTTTAATTTTATTTTTATTATTGGTCTTCAGAATTTGGGGCATATTTTCTAATTATAACAGATCTCAGTTTCAAGAGCTCAGCAATCACATGTGGCTAGTAATTAATCAGTTAACAACTAACTGACTTTTGAGGAAAAATATATGTAAAAGTACACAGTTGGGCTTTTGCATATGTGAGCCCCACATCTGTGGGTTCAACCAACTATGAATAGAAAATATTTGGAAAAAATGCATTTGTACTGAACATGTACAGACTCTATTCCTTGTTATTATTCCCTAAACAACACAGAGTAGCAGCAATTTATATAACATTTATATTGTACTAGGTATTATAAATAAGGTAGAGGGGATTTAAAGTGCACAGGAAGATGAGTGTGGATTATATGCAAATCCATTTTATATAAGAGACTGGAGAAGCTGGATTTTGTTGTCTGTGGGGGATACTGGGGGATAGTGGTATACATGAATTTATTATATAATATTATAAATTTAGTGGATTTTTTCCACATAATTTACAGATAAAATGTGTAATGCTCTTTACTATAAATTTTACACAGCCAGTTGACACCCATAGAATGCTTCTGGACTTTTGCCAAATTCTTGGTGTAAGTACTTCCACTTTGATAAGATTTAAAACCTCTAACTTTAAATTCATAAATGCAAAGTTTTAAAGAAATTCTCAGCAGCAGACATGTAGTATTTCCACCATTACATCTTTGTAAGTAAACTTTGTTGTAAGTGTATTAAGTGAAATAAGAAAGTGAAATTGGCACTTCAGAGAGCATGTACACATTCTAATGTGTTCTGCAGAATCGCCTGCCCAGAAGAGGCTGTTCCAGTGGTGTCCACTAGCTATGTTGGAGTAGCCTGTCTTCCCCAGCCACGGGGACCATGTGTGCTTTAACTTGCTAGTCCTTCATTGGACAGATATTTTCATCCTAATATGCATTTCCAGGCTTTTACTGTTTATTCCTGTCCTGAGTTTCATTTATTTTTCTAAAGGAACTGGTGGTTAGTTTTTTCTTCTATAATTTTTCTCTTTATGTTGTCATCCAGTTTTTACTTAAATTCTTACTATTTCACATTGACTTGCAGGATTTGTTAAAAACATTAACCTATAGATAGTAAATAATTTTTATTACATATTTAATCTTTCATCCTTCATCTGTAAGTTTCTATGTTTATGTCAGACTAATGTTCAGGCAATTGTGATTTTTGTTGTGCTTACAAAGTTATTTCCACGGTAGGATTTTGAGGGTGTTTTCTTGTTTCTTATTATTTTACTTTTTAAGGTATTGTTTTAACACTTGGGTCTTCCATAATCTTACTGGATTGTTTTTACATTTGTGCATGCTGTGAACTGGGAAACTTTCTGAAATATGAGCTAATTTTTTAACCTCATTTAACCTCATCCATCTTCCCACTAATTAAATGTGCCAACATTATAATAAACAGGCTCTCCATTTTACAATGAGTCTTTTTCTGAACTTTCTCCCAAAGTTTGCTCAATCTTTTGATCTATTTTTGAAACAATACTACATTATAAATCACCATGGCATATTCTCTTATCTGCTGGGCTAGGGCAAGTCTTCCTTGGCTTATGTTTATTTAGTTTTCTGGAGGACCTTGGAAATCAGCAGGTTTGGCCCCACCAAAAGTATCGTTGGAATTTTGATTAGGATTGTGATGCTAAATTTAGAGACCAGTTTCAGTAGAGTGGACTTCCATGTTTCCTGCGTCATCCACCTGAGTGGGGCTGGATCTGTGCTGACACATGTGTTCTCTTTCCTTCACCAGCACCTGTCTCCTGCTCCCCTCGTGGGCTAGATACTGAATGTTTAGGTAGACTCTTTTTTTTTTTTTTAATGTTAAGGAAGTGACTTTTTCCCTTAGTTTACTAAGAGTTTTGTGTTGAAATATATTTGAATCTTCATAAATGCCCTTCTAATCTATTGTTTCCTTTGATGTATCACTGTGATTTTATACACACACACACACACACACACACACACACACACACACACACACAATATTCCTTCCTTTTTCCTAATATATAATTACTAGTCCTCATAGAATCATAAAATTCGCTTCTCTGAGATAGCTGATTATTTTAATGACAGTTATGGTTTTCCTTGGTTGTGTGTATCAGCTAGCCTTCAGTGGATATTTTGCTTGGGGTCTTATGTGGCTGCTGTAAATGTTGGCCAAGGCCGCAGTCATTTGAAAGCTTGACTGCTTCATATCCACCATGGTTTCCTTGTGTGTTTGAGCTGATATTGGCTGAGCAGTTGATGATCAGATGAATTGTTGACTGGCACTTCCTTGTGGCCTTTGCATGTGGCCTCAGCCCTCTCACCTGTGGTTCCAAGGCTCAGAGAGAGCACTTAGGGCCAGCCTTTCAGGAAGACCAGAGCTAAACCTGCAAGCCTTCCTATGATGTAGCCTTAAGATTTCAGAAACTAAATGCCCACTGTATTCTGTGGGTAAACCAAGTAATTGAGTCCCGCATAGGTTAAAGAAGAAGAGAATTATGTTTCTGCTCTTTATTCTAAGAGCAGCGTGTGCAACAGGGGAGTTGTCATGGGTGGCAGCAGTCTTCAGAGACAGTCTCCATAGTCCACATGTATACCATGAGAAAAGGACACTCGCTGTCTTCCCAGAATCCTCAGGGTCTCGTCTCATCGCAGCATCAGGCTCATGTGCTCTGACTTCTCATCCGAGTCAGATCTAGTATGAATGAGCCTCTCTGGGGTGGGACCTCGAGTACAGTTCCCCATGGAGGAGTTGAAGAGGGAGGTTTTGCCTCTCAAACACCTGGTGTTTAGTGGTGAACAGTGGTAAATAACTGCAGAAGATGCTTCTGTTCAAAGAAGGTGGGAATGGAAGGCCCCATCAGTCTGTGGTCCAGAGCAGTTGTGAAGTCCAGACAGATGTGAATTCCTTCCTTTTTCATAAAAATTAACCTGCTTTACAGTTGAAAAGCTCTCCTAGTCTATCTACTACCTACCAGTAGAAAATTGGGGACCCAAATCTCTCTCTCTCTCTCTCTCTCTCTCTCTCTCTTTATTTTGTTTATTTATTTTTTTATGTGATGCTGAGGATCGAACCCAAGTGCTAGGCAAGCTCTCTACCACTGAGCTGTAACCCCAGCCCCTCTCTTTTTGTTTTGAACTATTTATAATGCCTTTAAAAAACCTTTTGGGCTTCCTGTACTTTTAATTACAATCTATTACTTTAGACAGAAACCACACTCATAAACCTCTTTAAGTCAATCTCCTTGCCACCATGGTCTGAAAGTCAGAGTGTCCAGGAACAACAATACACTTGGGTTCATGAATGCCTTTCTTGTTGCTTCTTCTGCCATCTTGGAGCCTGCAGAAGCCTGCTGGGAACGGGAGTTCTCATGGGCAGGTATGGAAGGCTGGGGTGCAAGGCCGTTTTTGCTGTCTGTAAGCAAGGAATTCTGGAACCAAAGAGCACAGAGCTCTTCCTAATACTGAAGGTGTTTAGGCCTGAGATAAAAATGAATTATACTTGGGCAAGAAATATGCTTAAAGAAAAACACAGTGACTCTCAGTGACCAGTTGGACAAAACCAGAGTTATCTGGGCAAAGAGAACTCGTGCCTGTGGTGTGGTTCATGCCAAATTCCAAAGCCACCCTTTGAAATGCTAGGGCTTCTTGAAAAGGAATCTGTGATGCGTGATGCCGTACTGTCTGGGGGTTTAAAGTAATGGAAAGTAAATAAAAGTGGATGGCCGGGACTTCCTTTTGCAACAGATGGTTGACAAGCCATGCCCTGGAGATTGTTAGAAACTAGCTTTTACTGGAGAACTTCTGTGAAGGTGTGCCTTTTAAGTCTTGCTGAGGGATCATTGGAGATGACACTTGACTTCAACTTTACCTTGACTAAGAACATTTTGCTGACTAGAAGGGCCTTCCTGTTTTTGTATATCCTCATTAAAACCTGAACACTCATTTTACTTTCTGTCTGGGTCCGTACCTTGCGATGGCATCTGAAAGAATCCGGGTAATGTTAACCTTAGGTGTGTTTCCTGTTCTCTGCTTTGCAGATGCCTGCTTAGCCTTGCTCTGGCTCCAGCCAGCTCCCTCTCTGACCTTCCTGCCTAAGCCCACATCTCCTGGGGCTTTTCTGCCTCTAAGCACAACCCAGTCCCCAAACCTGTGCTGTGTTTCATGTTTTTGTTTCCAAAGTGCTTCACAGTCTGTTTTGATGATGTCACTAGATCAGAGCAGTGGCTTTAACATAGTGACTTGTTTTGCTGTGTTTCTGTGGCTCGGGAAGTTCAGCTGAATGGTCCTCTCTTTCTCCTGTGCCATTGGCTTATTCACTCACCACCTGATGACTCTCCAGTCCCCCTGCCTGGTGTCTGCCCCCCTTACCCTTCTCCACAGTCTCATGCTGCAGAACCCCCATGTGCAGTGGTCTCAGGAGCGTCAGTTTTCTCTCATGACTAACTAACCACCAAAAGAACAAGAAGTAGCAACTGCCAGGACAATTAGGGGCCGTGTGTGGAATTCACAGTATGTTTCATATAATCTGGTCAGTGTGGTTAGAAGACTGGCCCAGACTGAGGTGGACAGAGAAATAGACTGTCCCGTTGTGGGGAAGCAGGCAAACTTGGAGAAAACTTATGATGAGAGATGTTGTCATTAGGAAATGAGTGGTTTCTAGAAATTATTTTAAGTTTTAGTTTGTGAGTGCTTGGTGATCACATGTGCACACAGGTGTAATGATTGTGAGGTGTATTGATCATGGTTTGTTAACTTCGTACAGCAATTGAATTAGGAAATCGTCCTCCCTTTGTCCTTGTTCAAAGTTTGAAAAAAAAAAAAACAGTTTCATAAAATCACCTGAATTGCCTACATGAGAAGCTTTTAGTTTAGTCAAATACACTACTTTTCATTTTCATTTCTCTGTATTATATATGTTTAGAAGGTCCTTCCTGGATTGAGAACATTTGAATCTTTGGCCACAGTTCCTGTTTGGTATATATTTTGTTTTATTCTATAGTCCATTGTCATAGTGTGGAGTGAAGGCAGAACTTCCTCACATTGTAGACTCATTATTTTCTTGCATTGTATAGTGTTATATATTCTAAAATGTTCCTGCTCTTTTCTATTGATATGTGAATTATTTTTCATACTGTTTATTATAACTCCAACCCAGATGTCTTCAGTTGGTGAAAGTCACTGAGTGTTCATACATCTAAATGTGGCTAAATGCCACCTAACCCACACCAAAGATTATGATTATGATTTTAGATTACTGAGGACATTTTTAGACTCCTGTTAAGAGTTTATTTTAATGTATATCTGAGCCAAGTATTTTTGTGCTAAATTTTGTTTTCTAGAATATAAGAATCAGTAGACACAGCAGATGTCAATAATTACAATTTTATGCTCATAATTATAACTTTCAAATATGTAACTTGATGTGTGGATGTCTTCCACAAGTAAATGAATAAAGGCAGTAATTGATTGCATTTACCATTGACGATGTAGCCAAGTAAACTAAAGCAGATAACTAGGGAAGAGTTTTCTTAATTTATGAAGTTACTTGAGCTAGCTGCAACTGCCTGTAACCAGCCTGTACTCCCAGCAACCTAGGAGCCTGAGGCAGGACAGTCACAAGTTCAAGACCAACCTTTGTCACTTAGTGAGACACTGTCTCTACAAAAGTAGGGCTGGGCATATAGCTTCCTGGTAGAGTGCTCTTGGGCCTGTTATTTGAGAGTAGATCTAGTAAGATTTAATCATTCAACCATATCATTTAATTAATGAATTACTTTAAAATATACTCTTTAAATGACTTTTTAATCATTATTAATCTGGCTTTTCTTTTTTCTTTTTTTTTTTTTTCCAGATACTGTTTTGTGTTTGCTTTGGGATACCTCACAGTGTGCCAAATCACTAGAGTCTATATCTTTGATTATGGACAATATTCTGCTGATTTTTCAGGGTAAGATTAAAACTTTGATTCAGCACTCCAATTTATCTTTTGTAACTCTTAGTTAAAATAAAACGAAATATAGTTGCATTTACTAGTTCCAGTGAAAAACTATCATTAAACATTTGAGTTCAAAATTCCTTTATGAATTTAGAATTTTTCTTATCATAGTTGGTTTCTTTATAATACTTTATGTCACAAAATATTATTCTAAATATATAACAATTTAATTTCTTACATAACATTCTGATATTGAAAGCATTTTCTAATTCTGATAGAGATTTCAGCAATAATTAATGATTCTGGAAATTTAGCCCCCTGGAGCCCATATTCTTGCTGCTTGCCCTCTCCCTCCCCCACCCGCTCACCCCCTTACCCCCTCTCCCCCTTCCCTCTCCCTTTCCCACTATCTCCACTCCACTTATCCGACATTAGTTTCAACAGTAGTGGAGGTGACTTCAGGCTTCCGTTGCTGCAGAGGGGATTCATTCCCTCCCTGGCCAGTTAGGTCTGTCCTATTCTAGTAGCTGTTGGAGTTTCTGTTAAACACCCTGCTGCACAAGCCCTTGTCTCCTGATAAACTCCCCCTTCTACACAGGGGTGTCTTCATTCACAGTGGGCCAGGTGGGGAGGGGGAGATTTTAAACCTCAGTGTTCTTTATTTCGGGCTCCTACAGCTTTCTCCATGGACAGCATACAGAAGATGCTAGGTCAGTCTTGAGTCATTGGACAGCACAATAATCAGTAATAGATCCAATTTAAGAATAAGTAAATTGGAAAAAAATTAGACAAAACGGGTTATAATACTTCGGGAGAAAAAAATTGCTCGACAATAGTAATGGGCCCAAATTGATGAAAAAAAAAAATCACTTCTGTGAAACAGAAGATGACCCATCTTTTTCTCCCTAAAGAGACCAAGTGGGTTTCACTGTACACATATAAAAGTAGTCTTGAATGGAAGTAGGTTGCATGAGAAACAACCAAGTGAAAACAGAAGGATGCCATAAAAACCAATTAAACCAACTAACTAGCAATTTCACTCAAAATGAGTGAAATTGAGATGCATACCTAGAACGCAGAAAAGGAAAATAGACTGTCAATCTTCTTATGAGTAGTAGGTGTTGAGCTGTGGCTGGGTGCAGTGGCCATGGGTATAATCCCAGCTGCTCTGGAGGTTGAGATAGGAGGATGGCAAGCTCAAGGACAGCCTGGGCAGCTTAGCGAAACCCTGTCCCAAAAAGGGGCTAGGGATGTATGTAGCTCAGTGGTAGAGCACCCTTGGGGTCAGTCTTTAGTTTCACTGTGTGTGTGTGTGTGTGTGTGTGTATACACATGTGTGTATAAACACATATGTATATGGATGAATGAATAGATAAGTAGAAAGAAATTGAGCTCCTAAACAGAATCACATGTTGTCACATGTTGTCATCATAGTGTAATGAAGTTAGGAAGTATTTAAAAAGTATCACAGTCACTGCAAAAATTAACCTAAGAATAATGATCATGTTGCCCTTGTTCATCTTATATCCTTAGTGTAGTAGCACACAATGGTATTAAATATTTAATTGAATTAGAAATAATACTTAAGGGAAAAAGTAGAAAATACAATAGGAAAGGGAAAAACCCAAATAGGGAAACAGGAACCCTGCAGACAAACTGAATCGAGAGGTGAATTCATAGCTTTGAATACTTGCATTGTAATAAATGAGAAATAAATTAGGCATTTAATATAAAATAGAAACAAAAAGAATTTTCTCAACTAATTTAGTTTATGAATGTTGAAGACAGAAATGTTAACATCAGCAACTAAGCTGACAGTGCCATGCAGTCATTACTTTTCAACCCCTGGAGTCCTAGGGCTCCATGGTACGTTCTGCAGGCAGTGCAAGAGGATAAGGAGCTGAGCCCCGGAGGTTCTAGGTCTCCCAGTCTTCTTCAACCCCAGTTAGGTTTTGCTAGTTAATATTTTAGGATTCTTCATATTTCATTAAGAAGTCTTTTCTTGGTGCTGGGGATATGGCTCAAGCGGTAGCGCGCTCGCCTGGCATGCGTGCGGCCCGGGTTCGAGCCTCAGCACCACATACAAACAAAGATGTTGTGTCTGCCGAAAACTAAATAAATAAATATTAAAAAAAAAAAAGAAGTCTTTTCTTTATTTTTTAAAACCACCAGATATAAAAGTAATTTAGTATAATCCAGTTGAATTGATCATACAACCAAGTGGGTTGATGCTAATACAGCTTTGTGTGACCAGTCCAGAGAGACCCTTACTACCTTTTCTTCAGTTTGAAATTAGTCATTACCCTTTTCATTTCTCTCATCTGCTACTCCAAACTCTTTTCATTCTCTAGTCCCCCACCTAACATCTCACCGTATTAGCTAGTGATAGGTTACCTGCTGTTACACAGTCACATAACTTCAGTGGAATAACATAGGACTTTACTTCTCATTCACGTTACAGTTCACTGAGGATGGCGCTTCCATTCCACACAATAACTTAGGGGACCAGGCCCTTTCTTTCTTGTATTTCCACCTCCTTCAGGCTCTCTGGCAACTTCTCCTAAGTTGATGGGGCAGATGGTGTCTTTGCACAACGTATGTACACATACAATTCAGGATATGTTTAAAACTTTAATTAGATAAGAGGAACTTTTTAAAAAATATATTATTGTAGTTGTCAGTGGACCTTTACTTTTTGTTTACATGTGGTGCTGAGAATCGAACCCAGTGCGTCACACATGCTAGGTAAGCGCTGTACCACTGAGCTACAACCCCAGCCCAAGAGGAACTCTTTTTTAAAAGATATTTTTAGTTGTAGATGGCCACAATAACTTTATTTATTTTTTGATGTGGTGCCGAGGATCGAACTCAGTGCCTCACATATGCTAGGTAAGTGCTCTACTTCTGAGCTACAACCCCAGCCCCTAAAAGGGTCTGTTAATAGAAGTTTCTATTTATGGAAAGATTGAAAGCTGAAATTGTTAGAGCTTAGATTAGCCTTAGAAAATAGATACAAGAGCTGGGTACTGTGGCACATGCCTGTAATCCTGGCGGTTGGGGAGGCTGAGGCAGGAGGATCATAAGTTCAAGGCCAGCCTCAGCAAAAGCAAGGCACTTAGCAACTCAGTGAGACTCTAAATAAAAATACAAAAAATAGGACTGGGGATATGACTCAATGTGAGTTCAATTCCCAGTACCAAAAGAAAAAGAAAATAGATACAAGAGAAATATAAATCAACAAAATAGTTTTCCTTTATACCAACAATAATCAATTAGAAAACATAGAAGTTTCAGAAGCAATAAAAACTATGAAATATCTAGGAATACATGTTTTAAAAAAGGAGCAGGATTTCTGTGTGAAAACTAAAACTTTTATTCTAGGACATTGAAAAATAACTTGAGAATCATTCATTTATAAGAATAGTAAAATTCAGTTTTGTAAGGATGGTAATTTTCCTGTTGTTAACCTGACACTGAATGTGGTAAAAGTTGGGGTTTTGATAGAGATAAGATAAAGTGATTGAAAAGTTTGTCTGGAAGGTTAAATTCTTGAGAGTAGTAAACTCAGTATAAAGATTGCTACTGTCTATAAAATAAGAATCATTAAGCCAGGTGCAGTGGTGCACACCTGTAATCCCAGTGACCTGAAGAGGAGGCAGGTGCATGGTATGTTCAAGGTCAAGAACTTGTCTTAAAGTAAAAAGGACTGGGGGTGTAGCTCAGGGGTAGAATACCCCTGGGTTCAATCCCCAGTAACCCCCCTCCCAAAAGGACAAGAGTCATTAAAATACTATGGAACTGACATAGGAGTAGACAAATCAAGAAAGCCAGGGTAGAGGACCTAGAAGGAGAGACCCCAGGGATTTAAGAATAAAAATACAGAATAGCAATGGTGGGATCAAAACCAGTGGGCAAGCCTGGCCCAGTTCTTCAGCACCAGGACATCAGGAGGAGGAGGGAAAGGCAGATCCTTACCTCACATGGAGATTGACAAATTGTAGATGGAGGCAAGAGCAGTTTTTCTGGCAGAAGGATAATGAATTCTGATTGAAATATGTTGATTTTTGTGATGCCAAAGAGATTTTTTAATATGTCTACCAAAAAAAGCTATGTGTGACATAATTTTCCATTCAAATCCAGACTCTGTCTCAGCAGAGCAGACGGAAACAGATGCTCAGTAAGCTACTCCCTGTGGCTTAGTTGGGCCTGTCCTTGGTGGGGGTGGTGTGCCTTCTGGTAGGTGCTTTTGTAGGTGACAGTTCTGTTAAGCACATGCAATGACAGGCCCTGGTCCCATAACTGCAGATGTGATTGTCCCCTTCATTATTCTCTTCAGCTGTATTTAGGTACAGAGTCTAAGTTTAGGGATCTCTTCGCCTTCTGTGAAAGGAGGACAAAGGCCCTTGCTGCTCTTTGTGACCCTCCTCTGCCTCGCAGTGCACCCAGAAGCAGCTGTAAATGGGGTGACTAAATTATTCAAGTGCTTGCAAGCCGTGGTGTTCCACCTGTCCTGGTTCATCCTGTGGGAGTATCTCTCAACCCCTTGACCTATATTTGTCTACAGGAGCTATCCTGTGTAGCTGCTGCTAATAAGGCTCAGGTGACTGTGGGTGAAGAGACACAACCTATTTATCATTTGTCTGTCCCCCACTCATGCCTGGGCTTTTCCTCTGAGTTTATGGATGTTACAAGGCAGTGCAGCATAACCTCTATCAGAAACATACCGTGCCGAGGGGACCAGGGGCTGAAATGGAGTATCAAATTCCTTGCATGTATACTTTTATCAAAATGAACCCAACTTCTATGTATAACTATAATGCTCTAATTAAAAAAAAAAATAAACACAGTGCTTCTTAACACAGGCCTGCAGAGCCCCTCACAGCTTTTCAGGTCTGTCTCTCCTGTTCTTTCTTTGGCAGTACTTTTTTTCACCCTGTTCGCTGCTTGGAACAGCTTTCCAACCATATCTGCCTGTTGAAACCTCCCAAATCTTAAAGGACTGAATTAAATAACTTATTTGAGATATTTCCCCCTTGGCTCTGTCGGTGTTAATTTTCACTCACCTCTGCACATTTCTTCAGTATTGTGCTTTGCACTTGACACTTGTTTATGTAGTTACAGTAGCCCCTTTACCCGTAGGAGGCACCCCAAGACTCACAGGAGATGTCTGGAACCACAGTAGCACCAGACCCTCCATGCACTGTGCCTCTTCCTATATCTACAGAGCTGTGGTCAGCTTTGACATTCGCTAAGGGAAGTACCTTACAGCTTTTCTTGGGCATATCTGAAATTCTGTCAGCACTACTTGTGTACTTGTGGACATTATCAACTAAAGTAAGACTTACTCAGGCACAGCTAGGAAAGGACTGATGGATTGGTGATGGATGCAGCATGGACAGAGGAGTGGTTCGCAACCCCAGTGAGACACAAGGGAAAGGCACAAGATTTCATCCTGTTACATTTGAACTACATGTAGTTTAAAGCCTAGGAAGTGTATATTTGTGGAATTTTCCATTTGGTATTTTCAGATTTTGTTTGGCAGTTGGTAATCAAAACCACAGAAATTGTAACTGAGGGTGAGGAGGCCACTGCACTCGTGCCCCTGCTGATGCTGCTCTAGGCAGGAGGCCTCTTTAGGAGCAGCGCTGCCACAGGATGGTTGTGTCCCTCCAGTGCCTTGCTCTTGGTAGCAGTTCCAACATGGGCTAGAAGAAGGCTGGATGTCGGACAGGGCTAGCGCTTAGCAACGTCTGTCACTCAGATACTGTCTAAGAGCTTTGTTGTATTGCCATTTCATTTAACCCCACGGTGGCAGTATGGTCCCCTTTTCATAGACAAGGACAGTTGTGAAAAATGTTAACTAAGGCCCTCTTCCACGAGGGTGAGTGGTGGAGTTGGGTTTGTGTTTTCTGACCTCAGTGTCCAAATGCCGCCTCAGCACATCCCACGTGTCCTCCTGTGGGCATCACTCTGGGCACACCTCGCCCCAGCTGGCTCCCCTTCCCTATGGTCTTCGCTCCCTGCCTTCCTCCCCAGTCAGCCCTGTTCTTATAGTTGATATCCCTGTTCAAAAACCTTGGTGGCATCGGGTGTTGATCTCAGCATGAAATGCAGTGTCAAAGCTCATTCAACCCTGTTGCCTTTACCTTCAGAGTATACCTGGAATGGGCTGCAAACACCTGTCCTGTTCCTTGGTCTGAGCCACCATCCCTTCCTACCTGCCCTCTACCCCTCTGTCACTGTTCAACCCAGAGTCAGAATGGTTCTGTTTAAAACCTATCACCTCGTGGCCTAAATTCTAATGGAGCCCTGTGCTCCCCTGCCTGCCCTCCAGCTCCCAGCCTCCCCCTGGAAACAGGCGTGGTTATCTCAGACTTTCCTGGGACCTGGGAGGGGAACATGCCAAGAGTTCCTTTCTACACAAATCCAGTAGAGAGTTAAAAGTATCAGAAAAGGTGAGAATGAAATAATTGGGAGAGTTGCTCTGATTGTCCTGAAAAAGATATTTGGGAACATATTGTGCTGTTGAAATCTGCAGCTTGCTTCTGTGGCTAGTGGTGTTGGTTTTACTGGGGGGTGCCTCTCTGTCCAGCAGCGTCTGCTGACAGGGTGAGGTCCACATTCCCTTGGCTCTGTTCTGCCTCCTCACAGTGCCTGTGCTGGGCTGCAGTCATCTGTTTACCTGCCGCTTGCTTCTTAACTCTTCTTAGACCTTTTATCCCACCCTGACTTTCCCTTTGTAGTCACTCTATGATAATTTTACCTTCTGTTCTTTTCTTAAACTCACCATTGCCCTGAAGACAGGTTGGGCCAGAGGCAGTTATGAGACCCTGGGTTGGATCCTCAGCATCACATTTAAAAAAAAAAAGAGAGATATTGTGTCTATCTTTATCTTTAAAAAATAATTAATTAATTAATTAAAAACAAAGGGAATGTTTGGGGCTGATGATCACCAGTAAGGGAAACAGAAACAACTATGAGACGGTTTCATAAACCAGGCAGTACTTTGTGTATCAGGTGTCAGTTTCTGAAGGCACAAAGATAAGGCAGCGTTCCTGCTGTTGAATAGTTCATGGGTATTTTTGTGGTGACAGAGAAGTAAACAGTCTTACTTTAGTATGACAAATGCTTTCAATGGTGACAGTGGACAGATGGAGAGGAGTGTCACTGCCTGTAGGAGACACCTTGGGTAGACACCTAGCAGGGTCACTTCATTTTGTGTTTTTACAGTATTCTTGTCTGGTACCAGGCTGAACTGTGTGTTGGAGGTTCAGTATGGAGGGCGTTAGGCTTCCCTGCTTCATGGGCTTCTAAAGAAAGAGATTGCTGGGCATAGTGGAGCACCCTGTAATCCCAGCTACTTAGGAGGCTGAGACAGGAGGATTGCAAGTTCAAAGGCAGCCCAGCAATTGAGCAAGACTTTGACTCAAAATTTCAAAAAAGGACTGGAGATGTGACTTGGTGGTAGAGCACCCCTGGGTTCAGTCCCCAGTATTCCCACCAAAAAAAAAAAAAAAAAAAGAAGAAGAAGAAGGGAGACACTTTAAAAATAACCATTGTAATTTAATGAATATAAGAACTGCAAACATGAGAAACACCTTGAAAGAAACAGACAAGAAGCTGAGATGAGGTGGAATGTGTGAGTGTGGGCATCTGTGCAGCTGATGAGGTGGAGTGTCTGAGTGTGGGCATCTGTGTGCGGAGCTGTTTGACATAGGGCCTCTTGGACAGAGAGTAACTTTCAGGCTGAAACTTGAAGGAGGGGCTGTAGGTCTTTCTGCATCACAGCTCCAGAAGAGTAACCCACATGCACCCATGTGCCAACTCTTCTCCCAGCTGAGCATGACATCCTGAGGTTCTGCATCCCTTGCATCTGGTGAAATAGAAGTTGCATGAAGGTGCAGAGTGTGGGTGGGGACAGTGTGGACAAGTATTCAGAAAGCATTTTGAACATCTTACATATGATACCTGGAAGCTTACCATGTCACTGAGTTGATTAAATTTAATAATTATCAGTTAATTATGTTTTAAGGTGACTTGAGGATTAGACTTTAGAACTGAAATGGCTTTCATAATTTACTGGTAGGATAAACTAAGAAGAGAATTAGGCAGGGTGAGAAAATGGTACTTTTTCCCCAGGGGAATGGAAGAGGTAGAGCAGGTTTATGGTCCTTAAGATCATGAAGGATGCTCTCTCTCTCTCTTTCTTTAATTTATTTTTTAGTTGTAGGTGGACACAATACCTTTATTTCATTTTTATGTGGTGCTGAGGACTGAACCCAGCGCCTCACCCACACCAGGCGAGCACTGTACCCCTGAGCCACAACCCCGGCCCCATGAAGGATGGTCTTCGAGGCCTAGAGGGCATGAGTCTGCTCTCCAAGCAGAGGGGGATTAGGCTGACTGAGGAATGATTTCTTGGGAATGTTGGTCTAAACGCAGGTCCCGTCCCTTAAGTCTTGGAGTTTCTTCCACCCTGGCCTGTCAGGTGTGGAGGAGGAGCCCACGTCCTCCGGAGCCATGTTCCCGTCTGCTTTCTAGAGTGGAAGTGTTGGAAACAGGCCCTCAGACTGTGGGCCGACATTGTGAGACATAGTGTAACTAGGGTCCTGTCTCGACACATTGAGACACCGACTGTTTGCCGAAGGTGGGCATTGGCACTGCACGACTGTGCTGTGAGCAGAGAGGTGGGGGAAGGACAGACTCCTCCTGGTGGGGTCAGCTCCCTGCCCCTCCTGCCTAGTGCAGGTGAGTCTCTGCCGGGAGGGTGCAGTGAGACGTTCTGCTCCAGGCACACAGAGTACATGTGTTGCCTCCAACCAAATGAATTTCATGCCTTTTGTTTTTGCAGTTTCCCAAATTAAATTAACCTAACCTAAGGTAACTGTGTCTGCAGTACCAGGGGTAGAACCCAGCCGCCTGCTTGCTGGGCCAGCACTCCACCCCCGAACCACACCCACATTCCTATCTGTGCTTCCTGTGTAGCTCATTTTTTTTTCCTTTCCAAATTATCCATTTAATTAGAACACTTTTAAAAAATGGGAGAAGTGTTGCCATTGTCTTGCTTGCAACTTGATTTTGAAGTCCTCTTTTCCTTCAAATAAGCCTCAGCTCCTGTGCCTGGCCTGCCCTGCTCGGTGGCTGGCATGCACTACTTTGAGAGCAGGGAAGGGGCAGCAGTCCCTGTTCTCCTTTCCTCCTCCCTGTGCTGTTGCCCTCACCTCTCCCACTTCTCACCCAGAAGCCCTTGTCTCCCACCCCTTCGCCTTTCCCAGGCAGTCATGTCCTACCTTCCCCCACCCGGGGCTGGAGGCAGCAGCTGGCAGTGTGGTGTTGAAGGAGGTACTGGGTCACAAGAGGCCAGGTGTGTGACCTCTGGACCGCCTTTTCTGGGGCATGACATGAAGAGATAGGACCTGATCCCTGGCTCATAGAAGACCCCTGGTCTTGAAATCCATTTTATGGTAGAAATGTCAGCATTTTGTAGTCCCCTAAGAGGAATGAACTCTCTTTACATGCCTTTAGTGCTTGGACTTTCCTCATTTAAACCTCCTGCCTTTTGTCTGTTGTAGCCCGATGATGATCATCACTCAGAAGATCACCAGTTTGGCTTATGAAATTCATGATGGTAAGAATTCTGAAATCAATTCTTCATTTCTGAATATAGTCCCATTCAAATAATCTTTTGCTTGAGGTACTACCACAGTTCTCTGCTCCCCGCAGAGTGCCAGGACAGCATGGGGTGAGGGGGGGGTTTGACGGGCCTTGGGCTGCCCGAGCAGGCTGGCTGCCCTGGTGGCTTCTTTGTTCTGCTTTGTTGGCTTGTTTGCAGTCCTGCAGTTGGAACTTGTAGCCTCGCAGACACCGGGCAAGTGCTGTACCCTAGAGCTACATCCCAACCCTACCTTGATTTTTTTTTTTAAATATTTATTTTTTAGATGTATGTGGTCACACAGTATCTTTATTTCATTTTTATGTGTGCTAAGGATTGAACCCAGTGCCTCACGTGTGCTAGGCGGGCGCTCTACCACTGAGCCATACCCCCAGCCCCCTACCTTGATTTTTAATTCAGTTCAGCAACAAAAAGTGAAGTAGCAGATCCAATCATTTGGCCCACATTAGTGACAATTTAAAATACAAAGAAAAGAGGCTTTGGTTCTAAATCTACTTTCATTTCTGTTTCATCTGTGCCTTAAATTTATATTAAAATTTTTATGTTTTCCTACCCCTCCCTCAGTATTTACAATGCATAGGTACATATTTACATAGATTTTTAGGGTAAGCATTTATATATTTTATTTCAAATGGACTTGTAACCACAGGAAATGATAGCAGTTAGAACTCTGAATCACAGAATTTAGGCTCTGGTTTCTGTGGAGATGGAAGAGTGATCCCTGGAGCCCCGTGTGCCTCCTCTACCCAGCCTGTGCCCACTGCAGCCAGAATGCACTGTACAGATAGGGGCCAGCCTTGACAGAGCTGTGAAGAGAGGGAGGGTGTTCCTCTTCTTCCCTTTGGCTACTGACAAGCAGAATTAAATGACTTAGCTTTTTGGAGGAATAGAGGGAGAGAATAGATGACTTTCAAGGAGTCTCAAATACTTGTTTAATCAGATGTGTGTATTGAACAGCAACTCAACGTCTGCCCTTCTGATGTGGAGATCTGAGGCAGGGAGAGGCAGAACTGGCATCTGAGTCTCTGTGGGGTGGTGGCAGCTGAGACAGAGATGGCCTCTGAAGGGGGCACATTCCTGTTTCAGGTTTCTCATATGTAAAGTCATAGTTCGAGATCCCCTTTGGAGGGTCTTTTCAAGGGATAATAGCTGATTTATATTGTCTCACAGGTTCATGTCCTCAACAGTGAAGTGGGTAGTGCTCTCCAGACGTGGTACTAAACCAGTCATGAAACTTTAAGTTATGTTTGGGTGCTGAGACTTCCATATCGTGATGATGACAAATCATGCCCAGGACTCTGGGAGGAAAATGTAGGAAAGTCATGGATCAGGGATCTAATTTTATTGGTTTAGAAGCACATGAGAATATATATTCAACTCAGAGCTTTTTTTAAAAACAAAAAAAAGCAGCAGAACTTCATTTCCTGACCTGTTCTTTTAGTTATTTCTTTGGAGCAGTTTATATTTTGTTTAGCCTTGGCAATAGTTGAAGAGTTTAGACTTCAAAATGGTGCCCCTGCAATCGGCCTCAGTCCATTCTCCTGGTCTCGTAGGCTGGCCCTACTGCATCCATACCCTGCCACTTGATGCTCACGGGGCAGAGGGTTGGCCCTCTGGCCTGTTTCCCCAGCAGTCTTACAAAGGAGGGCCTCCTCATCTGTGTGTTGGGGACACCAAGCCCATTCAACTCACTGTGTCATTGAAGTCATGTCTCATACTTGCTACAGTGAGGATTCTAGGCAAAGTTGATCAGAATCAAAAGGACTTGTAGTGTGGTCTGGAGGAAAACAGGCTCAGGTTTCCAGGAGTCCCCAGTGCAGTTCCAGAGGATGTGCTGGATCCCCCAGCAGCAAGTCACAGCAAGGCCTGAGAAGTGTGGCCTGCCAGGGAGTTTGCTAGGACTTGGCACCCAAGGCTTTTAGGGACCAGTCACATAGGCACCCAGAGGGCAAGCAGGACTTCACAGTAAGCAATATTGTTGGCACAAACTGTCCAGATATGAGAAGCATTGGTCTGTCCTTTTATTCTTTTGGTACCGGGAATTGAACCCAGGGGCACTTTGCTACTGAGCCATATCCCCAGACTTTTTTTTTATTTTTTTATTTTGAGACAAGGTCTTGCTAAGTTTCTTAGAGCCTCAACAGCGGAGACTGGTCTCAAACTTGTGATCCTTCTGCTTCAGCCTGGGATTACAGGCATGTGCCACTGCACCTGGCATAAGAGAGCATTTATGTTGGTAGGGACATTTTGCCAACTCAGTGAGCCCTGGGTCCATCTTCTCACCAGTAGGCCTTTCTGAGCACTGCACCTCAGCAGGTGGGGCCTTTCTCTGCAGTCGCTGGTCTTTTTTCAGAGGCCACCCCGGGGCAGTGCTCACAGAGGCAGCCTCAGGAAGCAGGTGCTCTTTGGTCTTGGAAACTGCTAGGCGTGATTTTGAGACATCTCATCACCCTCACAGGATTGGCTCCCTCCCTCTCTTTCCTTCTGGTTTTGAAGTATGCGTATGGCATTGCTGAGGCCTCAGGTAGATGAGGTCCTGACGGTGTGCTTGTCGCCTGGCTGCGCGAGTGTGTGGCGTGTTTTCTCTGGCGCCTCACGGGAGGACCGTGCAGTGTTGCTGGGGCCTGTGCCTGGCGTGGGAAGCCTTGTTTCCTATCAGATGCAGGCTGCATGACTTGTACTAGGTTGCATTTCTGGCTTTAAAAACTGGCATCTTGTCTTTAGTCTGTTTTTGGTCATTCTATTTAAGTGCCCAATTTGTGAACTGAGAAGGGAGGCTCCTTTCCTTGTACAGGCAAACACGTAACACAGAACGGGTCCAAGAGAGTCTCCTTTAAGCCCATTTCTACTTTCCTTGGCTCGTTTGCTACTCTAAAATGATAGTAGCCTCCCCGGTCAGGATAGCAAACCAAATGGACACAGAAGCCCACGACACCAAAGGCGTGGAAATGCTGACAAAACAGCACAAATGTGACATGAAGCATGGCTTGGCCTCCCCAATGGGGCTGTTACCAGGGCCCCTTCCTGGTAAAAGGAGCAATGTCCTTGCCCACAGAATGGGAAGGAGTTTTTCTAAAAAATACTGATCCTCATTTCCAGAGAGAGCCCTTGGTTTCTTTTTGTTTTGTTTAAGAAAATGGTGGACAGAGGCTGGGATTGTGGCTCAGTGTTGGAGCGCTTGCCTGGCATGTGTGAAGCTTGATTTGATCCTCAGCACCACATAAAAATAAATAAATAGAGATATTGTGTCCATTGTAACTAAAAAATATAGAGACTATTAACAAAAAAAAAAAAGAAAAAAAGAAAGAAAGAAAATGCTGGACAGCAGGGTTTCTGACCTGGGGAAGATAGCAGAGTGTCAAGTCCCAGAAGTCTTCCTTGTCTTCTTCCTGACCACTGTTCACCTTTCTCTGGTCTACAGTTTTAAGGCTTTTTCCTTCTGATTACAAAATGTAGGTTTATATTCACTGAAAGAAATTTGAAAATACAAATTAAATCCAAAGAAAAAATAATGATCCTTTGTGTCTCTCTGCCAGAGCTCTTCAGAGCCCGAGCTGCTTTGTACTAATGTTTCCTTTGTGTTCTCAGGAAGCCTGGTTCTCTTTAAAATATTTTTGTTGTAGTTGGACACAGTACCTTTATTTAATTTATTTATTATTTATCTGTGGTGTTGAGGATCAAACCCAGTGTCTCGTATGTGCTAGGCAAGCGCTACCTCTGAGCCACAACCCCAGGCCCCTGGTTTTCTTTTTATACAATTATCAAAAGTAAGTGTGGGGGCTGGGGTTGTGGCTCAGTGGTTAAGTGCTCGCCTGGCATATGCAAGGCCCTGGGTTCAATCTTCAGCACCACATAAAATAAATAAATAAAATAAAGGTATTGTAAACTACAACTAAAAAATATTTTTAAAAAAATTAAATGTACAGTTATTTGCCCATTCCCTAATTGTTGTATACATAGGTAGTTTCTTTTTTTTTTTTCCCCTATTATGTACAAGGCTGTAGTGATCCATAGTATATTTCAAATCACACCTTTGTGTCATTTCCTTACATTAGAGTCCTGGTGCTTTTCTCCACTGGTGGAGAGGAAGATGACATGGGTTTTTCTTAGTAGTCCATTTATTTTTTATTTATATTCTTTCTCCCTACCAGAATATAAGTGCTGCAACACTTATATTCTATTTTCCTCTGCTTTTACCCCAGTGCCTACGATAGTTCCTAGGCATTTTAGGTTCCTAGGCCATAGGATAGTTCCTGTGGCATTTTAAGACTAACAATTTTCTTCTTTTCTTTGTTTTGTATGCACACATAATAATATTAAAATGTGTTACATAATTGAGATCATGTTATATGATCACATTTTCATTGTTAATGAAATTACAAACCTGTCATCATCATTAATCATAAAGGTAGCATTTTATACATTAATTGAATGCTTGTTTCTTGTATGGTTTGTTTTTCATGTTTTCCTGTCCACCTTAATGTGTTTTGGTTGGTTTGGTTTTGATTCTTAGGGGTATGTTAACATTGTATCATATTTGCTGTAAATATTTCCTAAGTCTGTTATTTGCTTCTTAATTTATTCCCCTTTTGGTCTTTAGATTAGATTTAGGGTATATATATTTTAAAGGATATAGATCTAGTAAACTGATATGTAACCATAGCAATAACTTCCTATTTGAGAAGGAATATATATTTGAATACAATTTTGATTTGAGTTTCCATTCATTGGAGTCATGTGGGGTAAGGAAATTATTCCTTGCTTTATGTTGAGATTCTACTTTGTAGCACAGATGTTTAGTGATTTAAATCATCCAATAATCAAAAAAAATTTAAGGCTGCTTTTTTGAGGTCATAGCATTTACTGTTAAGAATAATACATTTGTAAGTTTAAAAAGTAGCAGCATGGGGCTGGGCCTGGGGCTCAGCAGGAGCACACTTGCCTGGCATGTTTGAGGCACTGGGTTCGATTCTCAGCACCGCATATAAATAAATAAAATAAAGGTCTGTCAACAACTAAAAAATTTTTTTTGTTGTTTAAGAAGTACTAGCATATCGGAATTTTTAAAATTTAACAAGTTTCCTTTAGACAGTAGTCATGTTAGTGTCTTTGTTTGCTGACAGTGTGCTGTTTATCTTATACAGACCTGGGTGTGTTGGACTGCGTGATGGTCCTTTCACATGATTGAAACTGTTGCCATGAGAAAGAAAGGGACAGTTGTTGAGAATATAGCATGAATTTCAAGTGATGTAAGCATGAATGGGGAAAAATGCCCTCTTGGGAGAATTCATAATTGATAAAATTACCTATGTTTGTTTCTCAGGGATGTTTCGAAAGGATGAAGAACTGACTCCATCACAGAGGGTCTTGGCTGTAAGGTTTGTGCCTTTGTATTATGTCCTGCCAGGTTCGTGGACCACCTCTGCCTAGAATATGCATCACTTGTGCGGCCAAGGCTTCTTGGTCCTTCTAGAGGTATCTGGTTCAGGAAAGCCCAGGCAAGCCCAGGCTGCTTCCCTCTCCTACCTCCCTGCCACTACACATTGCCATGTGAGACTAGCTCCCCTCGACCCTTGCCCCTGGGTATTCATAGAGTACACAGCTCCTGTGGACCAGGAGGCCGTCTGCTAAGTTTTTCTCCCTGGGACTCTTGAGTTCCTTTAAGGCAGATGATAGTATGTCTCCCACGTAGTAATTATTAGTAGTTGTCGTAGCCACCACACACATTGGAATGTTACTCAGCCTTAAAGAAGAATGAAATTATGGCATTTGCTGTTAAGTGGGTAGAACTGGAAAATATTGTGCTATGGGAAATAAGACAGTCCCGAAGAACCAAAGACCAAAAGTTTTCTCTGATATGTGGATACTAATTCACAATAAGGGTCAGGGCCTAGGGAAGAATTGAGGTAATTTAGATTAGACAGAGGGGAATGAAGGAAGGAGAGGGGGCTGGGGGGTAGGAACGATAGTAGAATGAATCAGACATTATTACCCTATGTACATATGACTACATGTAGACCTGTGTAACACTATGTCATATACAACCAGAGAATGAGAGGTTGTATTCCATTTATGGATGTTGTGTCAAAATGCAAATTCTTCAAAATTAAAATCCCTCTCCCAAAAAGGAAAAAAATCAGCATTAAAAAAAAAAAATGTTTTATTTTGATGTTCTCGGTCTTGTTACCAGTACCCAGCTCCTCCAGGGCACTGACTGATGAGGGTTAATTGGATCTGGTTCTCCAGCCTTTCTGAGTTCCTGGTCCAGCACCCTGTGCTCTGTTTTCCCTTTCCCTCTTGGCCACCTGACGGACCCCCAGACCTGGTTCAGTTCAGCTCTCCCCCTGCCAAACAGTGGAGGGAGCTGGGGGAAGACCCTGGCTGTGGCTGTTCTGCTTTTGAATCTGTCACGGGCTGTCAGTGCCGTCCTTGGTTTCCGCAGCTCTCCCTCTCTTGTGGCATTACACAGTCTCCTTTCTCCCAGACTCCCTAAGCTTTATTTTTTGGAGAAAATAAAAGCAGCTCTACTTTATTCTAAGATCCCAGAGCCTATTAGGTGGGCTGGGAGCGTGGCTCAACAGAACTGTGGACCTGCCCGGGTGGGGACCCATCCTTAGCACCACAAAAACACAAAGCAAATGAAAGTGCCCCTCAGAACCGCCTGAGATCTGAAAAGAAATTCTCTACTTTCTTTCCTAGAGCCAGGAATTAACTGTCTGTAATCCACTGTTCACTTCCACACTGACTCTGCCCCGTTCCTCCTTTTTTCTCCCCCTCCGTGTGGATCATTCCCTCTAGCCTAAGGGAAGAGGCTGGCTTCAGGGTATTCTTGTTTACATCCCCCACCCCCTTTCTCTCACCTGCCCCTGCAGTCAGGTTTTTGGCCCCGTTCTTTCCACATTGCTCATAGTCTTAGCAAATTTCACTGTTAGCTTGTTTTTTTGTGGTGTTCAACCATTTGGTGGTTGTTTCCTGCTGACCCCTGACTTTGAGATGCCCTCCTTGCCAGCCTTCCAGGATACTACATCATGTGATTTTTCCTCTTCCATCTCTGTCCCTTCATCTCCTGCACTGTTGGTGTGCTCCATGACTCAGGCCAGATATCTCATGTTTTTCCAGGTGCTCACCTGCAGCCCAGTTCCTCTGAGTACCACCTACATGTTGCTGTCTCTCCTGAGCCCCGGCCTCATTATCAGTGTCTCTGCACTGACAGTGATAGCCGTGTTCAGCACAGAACTCTGGTCTGTCTCTCTTCCTTCCCCCACTCCTGTTTCTCACCATTGTTGCCTTGTAGTTAATTACAGTGCCCGCCATCACTGGTGCCTTTCAGGAGGATTTTCTTAGTATAAATCCACTTTACCAGTGAGTCAAGGTCCTTTCGACTTGCTATCCTCCTGCCTCTTGAACCTGACCATGGCTCACCATTCCCACTGCTCTCAGCCCTGCCCAGACCCTCATTTTCTACTTGGTAGGTTTTCTAACTTAGTCTCCCTATTTCCCTAACTTAGTCTTTCTATTTTCTTTCCTGTCCTTTGTAGCTTCCTTTCTACTCAGCAGCCAGAGAGTCTTTATGTGCTTTGGGTTATATTATTGCCTTTCCTGATGAAAACCTCCAATGGTTTCCCATGTAATTTAGAATAAAATTTCAGACATCTGACCACAACACATAAGGCCCAATAGGAACCCGGAGTGCTGCCACATTTCTTTTTTTTTTTCTCCTTTCCTGGTATTGCAGTTTGAACCCAGGGCCTTGCACATGCTAGGCAAGTGCTCTCCCACTGAGCTACATCCCTAGCCCTGTTTATATTTTTTATTTTGAGACAGCTTCATTCTAGGTTGCTAAATCTGGCCCCAACCTGATATCCTCCTGCCTCACCCTCCCAGGTCACTGGGACGACAGGTGTGCACTCTTAACTGTACAGACCACCCTATCAAAAATTCCTTCCCTACCCTCCTTTCACTTTCTAGCCCCTGGCATGTTCTTGATTTTCTTCCTAATATGTATTACTGTCAGATTTTACACAGCATTATTTAATTGTCACTCTCCCTCTCCCCCAAACATAAAGTCATTAAGGACATGAACTTTGGTTTGTCAGTCTTCTGAAAACCTATCACCTGAGTAGTGATTTACTAATTAAAGTGATTCTTCTTTCAGAGACATTTGACAAGGTCAAGAGGCATTTTGGATTGTCTCAACTGGGGGTGGTGTTACTGACATCATATGGGTACGGGCCAGGGATGCTGTCAGACGTTCTATGTGCACAGGGCAGTCCCCACAACAAGGAATTATTGCCAAAAAATGTCTGTAATTCTAGTGCTGAGAAATCTTAACGTAAGACCATGCATAGCTGGTATCACGTCAGCATTGATGGAATGAAAGAATGAGTACTTGATTTTGTATCATAAAGAAGTATCACAGTCGGGCTTCAGTTCTCATTTTAATAGCAGAGATTATGTCAGTGCACAAAACTACTCATTCAACATGACAATTGAGTGGGAATCACTTCAGCAAGTTTCCTGGTTAAGCATTTCTCCTGTCCTTGTGCATTGCAAGACAGTACTTTGACTTGGTGAGATTGAGCCGTGCTGGGTCAGCCTGACCCAGGTTTGGGTCTAAAAGAATTGATGCTAAGAGTGGAGCTGTGCAGCCGGGGGACATGGAGTGTCTATGTTCCTCAGAGATTGAAGGTGCCTGTCTAGTGTTTGGTGCGGTGGGAAAGTGTTTTGTGTCAGTATTATGCAGGACAAGCCAGTGACGAATGCTAGAAACATTCTCACCCATCAGCTTTGAGCTCAAAGGGGGAAATATTTAAGATTCCAAATACTTAAATGTAGAACAATAATTCTGAAAAAATTCTAAAAGGAGTTTTGGCTGTTCATCTAAACAGTGTCAAAGGACAGGATGTAGTGGGTTGTTCTATAGGTTAGTTTTACATAAACATAATTCATTCTCTCTCTCTCTCTCTCTCTCTCTCTCTCTCTCGTTGTAATTTTAAGAGTGATCATGTCTCATTTAGAAAAAAGATTATAGCTTATTCAAGAACACTGTTCACTGCCCCCAGGTTCTTCTTTTATCTGTGATGGTTTGTAACTGGCAGCAAACAGTAGACTTGCTTAGTAGAACTGGTGTTAAGAAATAAACACATATGCCCCTTACTCATTTATATGATAACGTGTAGTCTGTAGTTGTCTGTATTGAGCACTCACTTTTACCCTGTTGTTTGCATTGAGAACTAGGATGCTTGGTATACTTTGGATATCACATGCCATTTGGATAGGCCTCACGGCAATGAAGTTAAAAATGTTTTCAGATGCACTGGACTCCTTTGCCTTGTGGGCCCTGTGGTGACCCATCAGCAGATCCCATGGTTCTACTGTCAGAATTGATGCAGGGTTCACCCCAAGGTCCCCCATGCCTTGGTTGCCCCCTACTTCTCCCTTGCCCTGTTTGTGCACGGGGACGAGAGTGATGCTTCTGAAACACAGATCTTTAAAACCCTCCTGTAGTTTTTCATCTCATTCACAATAAAATCCATGGTTCCTACCATGACTTAGGAGGCAGGTCCCACATCCCACCTTTGTCCCCAGGTCAGTGTGCTCTAGCCTGTGGCCATCTTGCTGCTGGGCATGCCTTGCTTAGGGGCGTATCGTTGGCCATTGCCTATATCTGGAATTGTCACCACCAACGTTGACACACTTCTTACTTCCTTCTGGTCTTTTACCCAAATGTGCCTTACAAGTGAGGCCTTTTGATAACTTCTTTTTGTCTTTTATTTATTTATGTTTTTGTACTAGCGATTATGCCCAGGAATGCTCTACCACTGAGCTATATCCCTAGTCCTTTTTATTTTTTATTTTTTGAGACAGAGTCTCTCTAAATTGCTTAGGGCTTTACTAAGTTGCTAAGGCTGCCTCTGAACTCCTCACCATCCTCCTACCTCAGCCTCCTGAGTTGCTGGATTACAGGTGTGCACCATTGCAACAAGCTTCTGACTTCCTAATATTATAAAATACCACCTTCTCTTTGGAGCACTTAGCATTTCTGGAAATAATATATTTATGTATTTGATCATCTATTTTCTGTAGTAAGCTTCATGATGCAGAATTTCTATTTGTTGACTGCTGTATCTGAAGATACTGGAGCATGCTGGGCACATGCTGGTAGTTGATACCCAACATGTATTTGTTGAATGAGTGAGCAAATGACTAGGAATAGATGACTCTTTATGCCACGTCGTGTCTGTCTTAGGTTTCTTTCTCAGTGAGAAATCTGTGTAGAAATGTAGTTGCTAATACAGGTGCTCATAGAAACTCTCAAACCCAGAAATACTGTTGGGCCTTACCACATCCCAGTCTTTTAAGTTTTTACTGTGTGGGTGCAGATGAAAATTTAATCTTTTATTGTGAACATGGTGAAAACAGAGAAGTAGATGATATTATTCCTGTGAAATCTTTCAAACAGTTTCATCTCACAGTTGCACGTCTTTTCCTTGCAGGCGCATGCCAAGCCTCCTGGAGTATGTAAGTTACAACTGTAACTTCATGGGCATCCTGGCGGGCCCACTCTGCTCTTACAAAGACTACATTACTTTCATTGAAGGCAGGTCGTACCACATGACACAGTCAGGTGAAAACGGAAAAGAAGAGGTGCAGTATGAGAGAACAGAGCCATCTCCAAACGTAAGACCACGATATGTATCTGGAGCCTTTATGAAAACACGTGTTCATTCATCTTATTTTAAAATGATGATGTTTTCACATTTTGAATTTCCCTATTTCTTTATAAATATTTTTCAAGATAAACGATTCTTCACATTATACTTAGTAGTGATGCCAGGTAGAAGTACAGTCATGATTAAAGAACAGACTCTACGTGCTGAACCCTTAGTGAGAATGACATGGTGTAAGGGTGTGGTGTTGTTTTACATGCGAGCCCTCCCTTCTGGACTGGACCTGGATCACTTTCCAGGCTGCTGCCTTGGCCTGTGCCTTGTGATTCGCATGTAGGAAGCACTGTTCTCCTTTTGTTTTCCTGCTTTACCCTCCTCATCCTAATTGTTGCCAGTCAAGATCTTGTTCCTTTTTAAATGGCTGCTTCACATATTGTCTTTTCCATGAAGCTGTTTCTGGTCCCCCCTGCAGTAAAGTGATGCTAGTAATTCTCACTTGGCCGGGCTCTGCAAAGCCCCTCCCTGGCAGCTGCTGGGCAGCCTTCCCAGCAGTCCTGGGAGGTGTTCGCTCTCCTCACTGCCTTGGGGGAGAGTACTGACAGGAAGGCGCAGCCCTTAGACCAGGCTTTCCTGGGTGGCTGGAGGAGAATTGGAATTTAGACCCAGACAGCCTGGCTCTGGAGTTTGTACTTAAATTGCCTCCCAAATGAATACAATTTTATGTCCTTTGAACTGCAGGGGTGTTTGGACTGCACAGTTAGAGCATTTTAAAGAATGCTCTAAGGCATCCAGGCTTCCTATAGGCTTTTCCCCTTGCATTCAATCAAGTATTCCCTGGGAAATCATAGGCTAATCAGAAAGTTTGTGTGATGGAGAAGAGGGGCTCCTGTGCTTCCTCTACATGTGGCTTGGAGCAAAGGGTCACCACCTTTCCTCTCAGAGCCACCGCCCTGCATGTGTGCAGGCAGCAAAGTGTGAGTGAAAAACTGTGGAACCTTTTGCAGAACTTCTTCTGTACCATGTGGCTCATTGTGTTTCGTGCCAGAAGGATGTTTTATTCTCCATATTTTTCATTATTGGTTAAGTACTAATTGAGAAATGCCAGATCAAACTGGGTTGGATTCAGACTTGAAATTGGAATCTCTGCCACTGAGTATTTCATGTGTCCATTCTGAGACTTAATCCTTCAGAGGCCTCACTTCTATAACAGAAAGTGAAGGTAATTATAGTTGGCCCTTGAGATCTGAGGATTCTATAGGCACAGGTTGAACCAGAAATATTTTTTAATTGCATCTGTATTGAGCATGTCCAGATTTGTCCTTACTTCCTCATCAATACAGTATTACAGCTATTTATCAGCACCTTGTGGTAGCTGTTGTAAGTCATCCAGAGATGACCTGAAGCATATGGGAGGATGTGCATAGCCTCTATTCAAATATTACACCATTATATGTAAGGTGCTTGTGTATCTGCAGGTTTTGGTATTTGGAAGGAGTCCTGGAACCCCTGTGGACACTGAGGGAGAACTGTAGAGACAACTTGTATAAGTTTAGTGGAGTACTAAAAGGAGAATGGAAACCTGGGGGTCACGATGCTGGACACTTAGTGATGGGTTCAGCTTTATCATGTGAGCACATCAGTTAATGTTGAGTCCCTTTCTTCATGTCTTCCCCACTTTAGGGAGTATCTGAAGAGCAAGGAATTTTGTAAAATATTTGAAAAAATATCAAGAACTATAAACATGTGAGTGTAGTAGTGAATCAAACCCAACAATAATACAGGCTTATATCACCTCACTTTATTTGTGTGGAATTTACTCTTATAAAATCTTACTTTCCTTTTGGGCCATGACATTATCAGAAGTTGTTGACAGTGGCAAATATTATTTTAAAATTTCTCATCATTTTAATATATTTTGTGTAAATTCCATAGGCATATAGTTAACAAAGTCAAATAGCAGTAATTACTTATAAATCCCTCAAGTTGCGTTTGGAAGCTCTTTGTGCCTCCATGGGCTATGCATACTCTTAGAATCCAAAGTAGGATAGTCAGGTAGCCAGTTGGCTCTTTGGTTGGTTCCTCCCAGTCGTCTTTATCTACATTAGTTAATGTAGGACAAAGTAATAGTTGATTTTATTTTATTTTATTTTTTTTTTTTTTAAATGTTCTTTCCTATTTCCACCTGATTTAATTTTCCTTAGGACTTTTTCTTTTCTTTTTTTTTTTTTTTTTTTTTTTTTTTTTTAATATTTATTTTTTTTTAGTTCTCGGCGGACACAACATCTTTGTTGGTATGTGGTGCTGAGGATCGAACCCGGGCCGCACGCATGCCAGACGAGCGTGCTACTGCTTGAGCCACATCCCCAGCCCCAATAGTTGATTTTAAACGAAGTTATCTCACGTGGCAGCTTGGATGTCGCAGTCTGTGGATATCATGGTGCCCCCACGGAGTTTCTCACATTCCCTTGATCAAAATTAATTGCATAGTTTCACTCGGCTCCAAGAGGCTGAGAGATGCATCTTGAGGTGGACTTGCCTGTGCCTAAGTGCCATTTCCTCTGCTCTGTGGAGAAGGGTAGCTCCCAGGCAACACTGGCCAGTCCCTCCTGATGTCTGTGGGCCTTTCCCCTTGGCTGTTTGGTTTCTAGAGTAAGAGATCTCCCAATCTTCTGTGCATCACAGACTTGACTGGTGGTCATGGAGGGGGGCAGGAGCAGGGGCAAAGGGTATCCCTTGGGAGGTGGACTTTCTCCAGGCTCTCCACGTTCATTCTAGCATCTTACCCAGCCTACTCCAGACCTGTCTCTAAGCCTGGATATTTCCAGCCTTCTTCTAGAAAGATGGAGGGGTATCTGCCTCTCTAAGTTAAGGCATCTTCTCTGTGTAAATCAGGTGTGTATGGGGGTGGTAAAGCAGGTGGCTAGAGAAACCTGGCTAAAACTGCCTTTCCACAAGCTCTTCTCCCAGGTTTAGGCCTCCTGCTTTTCCCTCAGCTTTTCAAAGATACCTGATGCCTGCACTGATTGGTTCTCACTGCTATCTATGCCTCTTGGAAGTTGAGATCACATCTATGGTACTTTAATTTTCTTTCCTTCCTTCTTTTCCTCCCTTCCTTCCTTTCTTCTTTCCTTCCCCTAGACATAGTATAATGGCCACAGTATTTTATACCTCATTTTTAGGCTAATATATAGGGTCATTTATCTCATCTGATTTCATTTTCAATTTTTAGTTTTTCTCTATTTAAGAGGCCAGGGAAACTTATCAAGATCCTGTCTCAAAAAAATAAAAGAGTTGTGGGATGTAGATTAGTGGTAGAGTGCTTGCCTAATGTGGGAGCTTAGGTTTAGTTCCCAGTACAAAAAGGTGCAGCAAGAAGTCCTTCATCAGTGAGATCCTGTCTCTAAATAAAATACAAAATAGGGCTGGGGATGTGACTCAGTGGCCGAGTACCTCTGAGTTCAATCCCTGGTACCCCCCCCTCCCAAAAAAAGTCCTTGAGCCCTCAATACCACAAAGGAGCAACTAAGAATAAAATGAATAGTTTTTTTAAGAACTGCAAAGAATTTAACATATGCTTTTTTGGGAGGGGCAGTGGGGGTGTACCTGGGATAGAACTCAGGAGCACTAAACCACTGAGTCACATCTCCATCCCTATTTTGTATTTCTTTTAGAGATAGGACTTCACTGAATTGCTTAGCACCTCACTTTTGCTGAGGCTGGTTTTCAACTTGAAATCCTTCTGCCTCAGCCTCCCAAGCCACTGGGGTTATAGGTATGTGCTACTGTGCTCAACTAGCGTATGTTTTAACTCTTGCCTTTGAGTTACTCTTTTGGCATTGTTACAAAAAAATATTAAAACATAGATGTTCTTTTATAAATTACTTGATTTGAATTTTACTTGGCTATTTATAGTACAGAGCACTCTAAATCTAGGTATTCTGTTATACATTTCTTCATTTGGATATAGCTTTTTCTTTTTTCCACTTGTGTCTTTTCCTTCATTACCTGAATCATCTCATCTCTTTTATACTGAATGAGTTTGAAATATTCTGGTCTTCTAAAAATACAGAAGTAGTATGAGTTTTAAATCCACAGAACACCAAGAGGTCTAGGGTATAGTTCATTGGTAGAGCACTTGCCTAGCAAGTTCTGAGCCCTGGGTCTTCTCCCTAATACTGCAAAAAGAAAAAAAAATTTTTTTCACCATTAAAGAAATATATATATTGTCTATTATATAAATAATGTTCATGAAATGCCTAGAACCTGAAAGTATATGAAGCACAATAAAATATGCGTATGTGTAAATACACATAAAAATATAAATATACAT